CACGAGGTCTCAGGATCAGAAAGAGAGAAAGGGATGAGAAATGTGGAAAAGTGGAAAGCAAATAGCCTTTTAAAAAGACCAGTCACCATTTAGCTCTACTGGTTGTTGTCTTGTGGAAATGTGGTTCTAGTAAATACAGATATGTAGATGGATTATTTACATGAAATAATCACATAGTTAAATATTGATAAGTAATTCAAATTTTAAGCTCTGTGGGTCAAATAAAACACATCTGTGGGCTGTCAGGAAGTGACCTCTGGATTAGATTCAAAATTCTCTATAGATACATAAATGTTATTAAAAATAAAGGATGATGACATGCTGTCCTTCATCCATATTTATGACCAATCAAAGGAAATACTAAAAAAAAAAGCTAGGATATTTCATTAATCAACAGATAGTAGATGCCCACTAGGTTGCCGCCACATATTCATTACTAAGAAGATATTTATTATCTTCTTAGTACACAATGAATATTCATAGTCATTCAAAAAGACAGATGTTTTCACTGCATTTCTCTGGTTTATAAACAGGTTAGTTGAGAAAAAAAATTTCCTGATAGGATTGCAAATTACTGAGAATGGAATACTAAGAAAAGATCAAAGTTATATGTAAGGGTTGATTCTATAAAAGCTGAAGGTAGAAGAAGACTTTTCAAGTTCCGTACAGACTCCTGTATTATTTATTATGCAAAACATAAGGGAGGGGCAGATAGTATGAAGAAGAGAAAATGTTAATATTTTATTATCCTAGATTGTTGCTCTCAAATTGAAATATTATTTTTGACAAAGTTGAAATGAAAATTTTATATAGATATTGGTTAAGAAAAAGACTACGGAGAAATATACAGATGCTCTGAAACAATTTGTAGTTCCCTGAGGGGTTAGAAGAGAAATTTGCAGAATCGTGGAGTACAATGTGTCATTTAGCTACTTGAGACAGCACACAGCATCTGCTCAGCGAATAAAGCAAAGGGCAAGGAGTAAAGATCCATTTCTATTTCTGGCATTTGGTTGCTCTGGGCCCAGAGGCATGGACTGACACATTTTGGTACTCAGGTCACCCCATATGTTTTAAAAAAAGACAACATGCATCCCAAAGGCATTTTTTTTTTGCATCAGTTTTGACATCTTTAAACCATTGCCAACTTTTAAAATCAAGGCTACCACAAAAGTAGAGAATGCTATTCGCCCTCACCATAATTTACAGATTTGATGAAGAATTGTGATGGCCAGCCACCAGTCAGATGCCTATTGGGATATTCTTATTTGCTTTACATCTCTGTTTATCTCGGGACTCATCATGTTTATTTCCAAGCAACGTTCTTTTTAATCCACTTTTTCCTTGCACTTAATTTAAATGAAAAAGCAGCTCTAGGCAGATTCATTATTTAAATTGCAGTCTCCATACTCTCAGGCAGGAATTACATAAAGTTCACTGTCTTTGCATCTTCTACAGGTTTTCCTTTGCTAGTTTTGAATGAAACGCTAACTTTATATTTGGCTCATATTTTTACCTTCATTTTAAAGAAAAATATAACATAAATGAGGAATTTAAAGATTAAGCTTATAGATAAAAAATACTTACCTCTCTCTTACAGTTTGATGCACAATGTAAAAAATAATACCTTTTCTTCCGAACTGCTCTAATTATACATGAACCATCGAACAAAGGCAAACACAAATTTCTCCTATAAGAGTCCACATCTTATAGGAGAAATTATTCCCTTCTATTACCTAATGCCTGACTTTCAAGAAATTAGATGAGCTCATATCATTTAATGTAATCCGTTATCTAACCTTCTTAGGAACTGACCTCCATAAGTACAACATTCTTGCTCTTACCATCAATTCACTGAATTACAAGTATATTTTGCGTATATCCACATATACCTACACTCATACTTTTTTGACTTTGAAGAGTGATATAAAACTGAGAGGCCCTAGAATATAAGACAGAGAAGAAGGAAGGATTATCTGCAAACACTTGGCTGCATTATACATACTCAGCCCGATACAAGACATGGATATTAGCAGGTTAGCCAAATCTTATTGGGGAAAGAAGTTACTTTTTAAAGCAAGCTGCTTTGCAAGTTCTGTCTTTCAAACCAGTTCCTGCAGATACCATACCTTCCGGAGGGGTTTGAGCTTGGTCTCCATTATGAAGTCATATTTGCAGAGCTCACAGCAGCGCGTGTCTGAGCTTTTGATCCACTGGTGGAGACAGGACTGGTGGACAAAGCGCAGGGTGCCTGTGCAGCGACAGGGTGTGATGAGGGGGCTCTCTTCATCCCCTTCGCAGTGACAGATCCTGGGGAGGACACAGAAGCTGGGATGAGATCTCTCAGAGAATATTTCTCATCCCTGGACTTCCTCTCTCGCTCACTCTAAGCTGTCTCAGAAACTGCAACCCAAGATTTACCATGCATGAACATTTATTTCACTCCACTTGATGCTAGAGTTGAACCTATGGCCCATATTACTTTTCTTTCATTTGCAGAGTCATTGCTGGACTTGTAAGTCATGTTATAAGGTGTTAGACATTGGCACAGTCCTACACTGAAGCCAATTTTAACTATTGAGCTATATCCTCAGTTTAATCTAGTTAATGGGTCAGTATCTATGAAATAAACTTTCTTTCACATATACAAGTTATGACTTATAAGTATTCTAAGGAATGTTGTAATCTGGTAACTTCATTTTTTTTTTATTTTGATGATAATTTTATAAGAGCATGATATATAATTTAGTACATATCGGTATCTTACCAAGGTGAAAGAATTTTGAAAAAATTAACACATTACCAAATGATAAAGTGAATACAAAAAGTTGTAGCTTGGAAATAATTACAAAGATTTTTCTAGGAAGATTCACCCATTTTGGTCATAATGAATGGCCTAAATAGTCAAGAATCATTCTTGTATAAAAGACACAAAAATTACTGATTACATAAAGTTCAAATACAGTAAATCCTATTGTTTTAAAATATTAATTACTACATAGTCTAAGGAATTCAGAGTTCAACTAGTTTACTGAATTATTTTGAATTCTAGTGTTATAGATTCACTGTCTATGGCATTATCATTATTCTCATCGTCAAATTAAAAAAAAAACAAACTTTGTTTTCCTCATTGGATGACATAATCTTTTCTTACCTCAAGGTTGTGAATTCGAATCCTAGCACTTCAATTCTTATGATTTAATCAGCTGTTAAGGTTGATAATACATTGGATTAGAAATACTGCTTGAAATCTATTAGAAATAGGAATGAATGGACCATTTAAAAAATATCTATATAGTTACTTTTTTTTCAGCTGAGTCACAGTGGCAGGCTGGAGGAATGTTAAAATTGCCGCTACTGCTCTTTCCTCTTAGGTCTGCATGTGCTATTCTCCAGAAGCATGAGTTTTAAAGAGTGAATTTTTAAAATACATTTATCTACCTCAGCTGTCTTCCCAGGGGAAACGAAATGACTGCTCAGGTTGTTACTGCAGTGAGATACAGGAACTGAAATCCAACTCCCCCTAACCTCAAAATAAAGAAGTATGACACAGTATGCTAGTATTTTGAATCTCTTTTCTTAAATAATAATAAAGTAAGCAAAAAGGAACACTGACTTCCAAATTCCTTGGGATGGGAGTAATGGGATGAGAGCAGAGAGAAATTCAAAATCAGTGTCTGTCTTCCCCTAGACTGAGTTGGGAAGTAGCAGTGTTGGATGTAGAAGCACATATAAAAGACTGACATGGTGGGGACAAACTAAAAGTAAACTGAGAGCTTATTTTTTTAATATGGAAGCCTGATATATCACTTCTTTCCAAAGGTGTAGGTCCTAGGGATCAGGGCTTACTATACTTTGTATCGACAATAGAGTATTGGTCACATCATTGGTGCCGAGTATATGATTGTCAAGTAAAGGAATTGTTCAGTCAATAGACTATGAATAATTATAAAAGCAACCTGTGAAAGCAAATCTGGGTTTCTATAGTGCTGCATTTTGTTGTAATACTTATTCTTGGAGTCTCCGAAACCTAATGAATTATACAGCATGAGAGGTTGATATTTCCTAAGTCCTTGAAACTCTTATTTCCCTGCCTCCACATGAAGATACTCCCTGAGATCAGAAGTCAGCAAATTATGGCCCAATTCTTCCAGCTGCATGTATTTGTAAATAAAGTTTTATTGGAACATACCCATGTACATTTCTTTAAATATTACTTACAGCTTTGCTTGCACTGTAACTACAGAATTGAGAGTTGCTGCAGAGACCATGTGGCTGTAAAGACTAACATATTTATTATCTGGCCCTTTACAGAAAATGTTTGCTTATCCCTGCCTTAAACATGGTGATTCTGAGTTAAAGACAGTGCATGAATATTATCAACAAAGCAAAGTTTAGAAAAAAAATCACTCCAACCTCTGCAAGGGACGAAAGTTGAAGTATAGGTTACACAGAGAAGCACACGACAAAAGTGAAAGTCCTTCCTGGCCTGACCCTGAAGCTCGCTGATCCATGAACAGTGTGCAGGGACAAGGGGCACGATTCTTCATTTGAAAAATAAAACTTGCAGTTAATGCCATCTGATAATTCATCACTAAAAAACGATCGTGTCAAATGCTGCACAGTTGCCAAGATGGCTCTGAGGCTCTGATTTTCTACTGACATGAAAAAAGTAATTTATTCATAAGCAGATTTAAACAAAGACCTTGCTGATCACTGAATTCAAACCAACCTGAGTAGTTTACAGATTGCAGTCCAACTTCTTATGTCTTATCGATTCCTTTTTAAAAATTTCTGCTGAAACTGTTACCTGAAGCATCACCAGCAATATCATTTTATTTTTTCATAAGATTATTTCCCATAGGAAAAATCAACAGGTTAGTTCATTTTCATTCCCACTTCACAAGATTTATTTTTACATTATTTTGGACTTTGAACTTTTTCTAAATTATCCAATCGATGTTGGATTCCAAGTTTCTTCAAACCATGTTGAGATTGTTCTAAATAAATTTAAGAGCTAAATATAAACTTCAACTATCTCCTAGAAATAAAAAAATAATGTGATAGTCCTACAGATAGAATTAAACAAATTTTTAAACTGATATACTTTGCACAAATGGCAATTGTTAAATTATAAATGAAAATGAAAACATGCCTTTTTCAACAGAATAATTGTGCAGACAAAACAATTTTAATAATACAATAAAATTGCATTGTAAAATATTCATAATTTTTTAAAATTAAATTTATTGGGTGACATCGGTTAATAAAATTATATAGATTTCAAATGTACACGTCAGTAATACGTCATCTGTATAATGCATTGTATATTCACCACCCAAAGTCACCTCCTCTTCTGTCACTATATATTCGACCCCCTTTACCCTTTTCTATCCCATCTTCCCTCTGGTAACCACTAAGCGGTTGACTGTGTCTATGAGTTTTTGTTTATTTGATTTTTTGCTTGTTGCTTTCATTTTTCTAGTCCACATATGAGTGCAATCATAAGGTTCCAGACATAGAGAAGCTGAGAGAATTTTCCACCACAAGGCCTGCATTACAGGGAACAATGAAGGGGGTTACTCTACCTGAAACAAAAAGGCAAAAGAGCACAAAGCTGAGTAAGATGACGAGCAGACAGGAAAGAAGTAGGAAATTGCAAACTTTATTCAGAATAGCACACCATATACTTAAAAATATTCATAGTTTTGATGCATTTTTATCTGTTGGAGACAGTCTGTGACTTGAGTGATTCTATAAAATCGTTGGCGATCTGCATTGTTGTCAATTTTATTGTCATTTTAGTATGTGAACTGACTGCTTATAGTCTAATCAGTATATGTTGAGACTTTCACCATTTATAACTTGAATAAACTTCTACTTCCATATAATTTCTAGCTTTCTGTGAAACGCAGACCACAAAATGCTATTCTGCAAATTAAATTTTGTAAAGTATGTGTGTATGTCTGTGTGTGTAACATTAAGTTACTTCCTTAATGTTTGAATTTTAAGAAAAGCAGACTTTTTTTTTTTCTTTTTGTCCCACGTATCTTAAAATGACCTTCACTATTTCCCATTCCTTCCCTGGCCAAGGCTTCTTGGCTCTGGTAGAATAGTAATTATTTTTTGCATACTTTAGAAAAAGTGATTATATAACTTTGGGATTTTTTTTTTCATTCATTCATTCATTCATTCATTGGCCACTTCATTCATTCACATATCTTTGTTCTTGCTAGATGCAAAGAAAATCAGGTTATAATGTCAGCAAGTAGGGTAAATTGAGAGGGAGAGAAAAGAATGTGCAGGCAGGTACCTCATTTGAATATCTATTACAGTCACCTAGGTATTAAGGATCTGGAACCCTGCGGTGACATTGGGGAAGAGATGGGAGACTCAGGCTACAGAGAGTGTAGAGGTATCCGAGGACCTTGCTTGGTTTCCACAACTAGCTATGGCAGCAAAGCACATTCATTAATATGGGACTCCCACAGGCAGTGCCCCCCGTAATCTTCAGACAACATCTCAAGTGCAAGCCTATCCACTCTTCCCATATTCCATGCCTTTTTTCCCTTTCTATTCTGACAAATCTTTCTGATAAAGTCTCTCACTTCCCTACTTACATTTTTCTCTATACTTCTCTCCAACTAAATAATTTTTAAGCACTGTAATTATGGATACAGCTATGCTTGTAATGGTTTAATTTGTATGTTAATCTTTACTCAAACTAATCATTATGCTTCAGAGTTTGGCACACATTCTAAGAATTCACTTTACTAGGCTAAAAATGATTGGAATGTATGTTGGGCCCATGCCATATTGAAAGGTATTAAGCACTGGGTGAGAAGTCAGCGATCAAGTAAATGAGTGAGGAGATATAATCACTCCATTGTTCAGAAATATAGCAGAGCAGTGAAAGGTGAGCAGCCTAGAAACATTTTATTTTTAATTTTTATTTCATTTTATTTTTTCATAAAGCAGAAGTGAAGGTGCCAAAAAGAGGCAGGCATTAAAAAAAAAAGGCAAGAGAATGCCTTGTTAAATGGAGGTTCTCGAGAAGTGAGGAGAGGAATATCTCTGGGCAAGTGGAATAATACACAGGAGGAAAACACACATCTTGCTGTGAGCAAGAGGTAGAGGAAAAATGATAAGTAGAGATAAAAAGGTAGTGGAGGAGGAGAAAATTATAGTAGCTGGGTCTGGGAGGTCCTGTTATCTTCCGTAATATAGGAAACAACATGTGTGCTAAAGAGAAGGCAGAAAGGCAGAAGGTTAAAGTCTTATAGAGGTTATAAATAATTAGAAAAAGCCAC